AAAGTGTAAAAACAATCCCTGAAAAGTAGAGTTTCTTTTTTTTTTTTTTTTTTTTTTTACATCTGTCATTTAAGAAGGCTGCCCTGCGGTATTCATAATTCATTGTTTGCCGCAAAGGTGGTTAATAAATTGAAGCTTTTAAAAACGATCCGTAAGTTGATACTTTGGCTCTTTGGAGCTTATTTATTTAAGAAATTTTCCTTGATTGACCTTAGGGCAGTTGGGGCACTCCAAGGGGCTATGGCGATAAAAAGCTGAATGGATAGACGCTTGAGAGGTGCAGCAGCAGCTCTGCCATTCTCACCCTTTGGTATAAATGAGGGTGCCCATGTGGTTGCCCCTTCTGTCATCAAGAGAAAGTGCTACTAAAAAAAAACTTTAAAAAACATTAACCCTTTGATGCTTGATTTTTCTTAAAAATTTGGAGGTATTAAAACATCCCTCATCCATACCTTTTGCATATTTCAAATAGACCCATATTAGAGAAGAGAGTAAAAATGAACGCAGACTATGCATACAACGAGAAGACTCAGGGGGTCTGGCGCCGACCCCCTTTTAATACAGATTTACATTCCTACGAGAAGATACATTCCTACCATACATTCTGCACATGTTACGATCCAGATGTTGTTAGAGCTCCACAGTAAAATAAATATATTTACACAGATAAAAGGAATAAATAACTTATGGGGGAAAAAAAAATCACTTCAAATTCAAAGCTCTTATGATTCTGCTCTCCTCTTGTCACTTCATTGCACATCACTGTCAATCACTGTCCCTTTCCGGCCCCAGCCCCACCCAGCACGTCTCTCTCACGAAGGCACCTCAAGCTGCCTCTGCCTGGCTCTGGGTGCCACACGGTGTCTCGTGTGAAGGGGAAGGCACTGCTGTCAGGTGGCATCTGGAAGCACGGCCCATGCTCATACTGGGATTTGGAGACCCCACTCTGGCTCCTATGTGTCCCTGCTGGGACAGCACTTTGTAAAGACAGGACACAGAGACAATCTGAACTCCCAACGGTTCGGCTCTTTCTGGAAATGGGTCACTCATTCCCCACGTCTTTTTCATTAGATTCTGAGTATCAAGAATTTATGGCAAAGGGTGTCAGAGATTAAAAGCTCTTGCCTGCTATTGTTGGGGGGTGGGGGTGGGAGTTAGTTTTGATTCTGAAGCCCAGCTTTCCAAATACATGAAAGTCAGAGAACTAAGTTTGGACAACACTTTTCTGTGTGTATTTGAACTGTTGCCCAACACATGGGATTTGTTTAAACCCAAGATTTGCTAATTCCAAGGAAAGTACAGTTGTTCTAAGTTACTGTAAATCAGTTTCTAACAATGGCAAATCAACTGCTTTACCCTGTTATTACTGAGAATAACCAACACTATTGTACATGTATAGGTGCGTAGTTGTGTGTAGCTTGTGGCTGGTGCGCCAGGCCCTCCAGTTATGGGAAGTGTGAGTCTGGGCAGACTTGTTCTCTACAAGAAAAGGAAGCTCTTAAAAGGGACCAACACAGAGACATTGGAAGCATCTACAACAACCCTCACCTTAATTATACGGTCCCTGGTCCTATGGGTGGAACTGACACATCTGTAGCAGTTAGAGGTGTCTGTGTGGAGGCTGCCTGTAGGAGAGGGAGTGCACTGTGATCCATCACGGCTCGACTGAGTTGGTCATTAGCCGTTAAAACACATTTGAGTGGGAAGAATGCAAATTAGAATGTAGAAAGATTTCATCACGCCACACACGGATCTTTTGCCCAGATGAGCAGTTCCTTCATCACAAACATATTTTCTTTGCTATGTGCATTATAAAAATAAAACTATCTATGGCTTGTTTAAAGTGCCATTTTATAAAGTTGTCTTTTCAAATTTTTAAAAAATTGGCCAGAAAGACCTAATTTTATCCATGGCAAGAAGTGAGCAGAATTGGTGACTGAATATCGACAAATGACCAACAACAAAGACGACGACAACGACAAAAACACAAAATCCCATAATTTAAAATCTTTTAAATAAATATAAATGTTATCCCTAAAGAAGCCATCTGCATACCAATAGAGGTTGCAACCTGCGTTCAACAGCTAAAGTACCATTTCAAAGAAAGGAGAAAAAAAAAAAAAAAGGCCATAAACAATTTCGGCAACAAGCATGATACATCGCAAACATTTTAAAACCAAATGTACACCACTAGGAATAAAAAGCTACTTCCCAAAGTGTGTTCCGGGTGGGGAGGGAAAACATGCATAGAAAGTCCGGTCTGTGTATTTGGGTAAAACAGCCTTGAATAGTGTAGTCGAATTAGCAGTTGATTTGCGAAAGCAACCAGGTTGGAAGCTGTGACGTGAGGTAAGGAACTCTGGGTTCAAGAGTCATGGATCATTATAAAAATAAAACTATCTATGGCTTGTTTAAAGTGCCATTTTATAAAGTTGTCTTTTCAAATTTTTAAAAAATTGGCCAGAAAGACCTAATTTTATCCATGGCAAGAAGTGAGCAGAATTGGTGACTGAATATCGACAAATGACCAACAACAAAGACGACGACAACGACAAAAACACAAAATCCCATAATTTAAAATCTTTTAAATAAATATAAATGTTATCCCTAAAGAAGCCATCTGCATACCAATAGAGGTTGCAACCTGCGTTCAACAGCTAAAGTACCATTTCAAAGAAAGGAGAAAAAAAAAAAAAAAAGGCCATAAACAATTTCGGCAACAAGCATGATACATCGCAAACATTTTAAAACCAAATGTACACCACTAGGAATAAAAAGCTACTTCCCAAAGTGTGTTCCGGGTGGGGAGGGAAAACATGCATAGAAAGTCCGGTCTGTGTATTTGGGTAAAACAGCCTTGAATAGTGTAGTCGAATTAGCAGTTGATTTGCGAAAGCAACCAGGTTGGAAGCTGTGACGTGAGGTAAGGAACTCTGGGTTCAAGAGTCATGGATGTTGTAAGAGTGCATCCCGGCCGGCCGAAGTGAGCCAAGCTCATTGTGGTGATCATGAAGATGCCATTTTCAGCTCTTAGCAACAGAGGGAACAAAAGCTCTAGGGAAGGGAAGCTGGAAAAGACAATTTAGCAACACCGTGGATGCCTTCTGAGGAGGTTTTCTTCTTTACGAGCCCGAAGCATTGCAATAGGGCTTACGTAGTTCCATACAGAGGTTGGTGGCTTTTCATAAAATTTCACCTGGAAGGAAAACTTCAGGTTATCATAAAAATTATGCCTAAAAGGAAAGATCTGGGTTTTCATGAAAAAGAGAAAATAAAAACAATTAAAAGCACAAACTTAGCATAAATAGACTCTTAAGTAAGACAGTAGTCTTCCTCTCAAATGAGGGAGCTAAAGAGAACGATCGCTTAAACCCCGAGTCCACAACCATTTCTGGCCAACTGCTTAATGCAAGCTTGATGAGCAGACATGGCTCTGGCGTTGAAGTCACAGTACTGGCGGCTGTTCGTGCCAGGGGGTCGGTGCTTGTGAGATCTGGGTGTGACTCAGCTGGTCCTTTCTTAAAGCGCCGTGTGTGTGTGTGTGTGTGTGTGTGTGTGTGTGTGTTTGCATTTGGGGACATCGACTGCAGATTGATTTGATCCAATTTTCTCTTGCACCATACACATATAAAACATTACAACTCTATAAAAGTACAAGTGCAACTTGTACATCTGAAGTTTGCAGGAACTATGTGAGCAAATCCTATCAAAATAGCTATCTCATATGTATAAACAGCATTTGTTTTTAGAAAAACAATATCATAAACTGCAGAATCTGTACAAAAATATAAAATAAATTTGGGCAGCAGTTTTCTAAACAGCCATGTAAATGCAACACTTACGAGTAGTAGTTAATGCCTCTAAAAAGGCTGAATTGCCAAGTCAACCTATACAGGGCGAGATGCCAGAAAAGGTACTGAGATTATCTAAATAATATATATATATATATAGATAGATAGATAGAGATATATATATATATATTTTCTTTTTTACCTCTTGCAATAAAACTTATAGAAAAAATAGACAAATATGCACATGCAATTTACAGCTTTTCCAACTTAATCCTTGTGCTTCGCTTGAACTGTTTATTTTTGTCATTCAACACAGCAATATTGTCTTCAAATGTCTTCTTTCCTATACCAGGGCAGTAGGTCTCTGAGGAACCACTCAACAAAAGCTTATTAAAAGTGGTCATACGTGGATGAAGGCACTCCAACTCTGCTCAAAGCAAAAACTAGTGTGATCCTTTGTAAAATGTTCTTTTTCTCGGAAGAAAGGCAAGCAAGGGTGCATGCACAGTGCGGAGAATCGTCAGGGCGTGGGGAGGCTCACTGGGCCCGGGGGTCACGGCAGGGGTCCCTGGGTCTCAGGACCCAACGAGCACCTCCATGATGTGGTCCAGCTCTGTGAGGTCCATTTTGAAAGGCTGACTCGGGGTGACAGGCTGACTGCTGTAGGGTGCCAGGGTTTTGAGGAGGTCGTCGGCCGACACGGGGGCCATTTTGGAGGCTGTGCCCGACGAGGACGTGCAGGGGTCAAAATCATACATGGATGTATCGATGTCGGCAAACAGGATGTCGTCTAGGGTCAAGTCTGTCAGGAAACCCGTGGACGTGGTGATTTCAAAGTTCCCCGGCAGGGAGTCCATCAGTTTGGAGTCATCCGTGCGGCCCTCCTGGGGCCCGTCGGGTTTCTGGCTGCTGGACTGGCCGGAGGTCCCTTTGGAGCTGTCAGTCACTGTGGCCTCTGTGGAGGTAGATGTGGGACAGAGCTCCTCGATCTCGTCCAAGGCGGAGGAGAAACTGTCCTTTTCGGGTGGGAGGGCTGGAGGTGAGAGTTTGGTAGGAGCCGTGGGCTGCACGGCCTGGGAAGTGCAAAAAGTGTCATCGTCCTCCTCCAGCAGCGAGGCTGGGGTGAGGCAGGCCTCCAGGGGTGTAGTGCTTCCGAGGTCGCAGGGGTGCACAGCGGAGGACGCCAGGTGGCTGAGGGCGGCTGGGGCCTCCCGGTAGCTGTCGCTCAGCGAGTCAGTGGGCTGGGAGGAGGGGGTGAACACAGGCCTCAGGCTGCCTTCCTGTTTGAGTTCCTCCTGGATCCGCCTCAACATGTTGTTAATTAAAACGGTCTTCTGCAGGCTGGGCTCTGTCAGGGGCCTGTGGTTGTAGAGTTTCATAAGGGAAATGTTGAAGATAGTCTGGCGCTGTAAGGTGTAAGACACCTTGGACGGACCGTCAGAGGGAGACACGATTTTGCCTTCCAGCCCATCTTCATACTCATCAAACTTCCGCTTTCCTCCTTTACCCAACATATATCTGCAGAGGGGAAAGGAAGGAAATGGCATTAATCACACGGAAGCTCATTTCCACCGTCAAAGAGATGCTGATGTAGAGGTCAGGCCTGGGACGTCAGTTTCTCGCCCAGCGTTATTTACAACAGATGGTCTCACCAGGGGGAGACCCTGTGGAGTAACAGAGAACTGGGAGATATACCTTCGTGTGTCTGCGGGGCGGTTTTTATCACTAGGTAGCCTGGTGACTGCATTTCTTGAGAAATGTGTACGACACAGACAAGTTAGTTACCATGGAAACCGTGATTCTGACTTTCTCGCTCTTGAGCTGGCGCTGGTATGCCTAACGTTATCAGGCAGGTTCGGTTTCCCTCCCCCAAATGGATTTATTTATAAAACCCAAGAAATAAAAATGACAATGCTATGACCTAGACAGGCATAGGTGTCAGCAACTACAGCTTGAACACATCCCGAACGACAGAAACCACCACGTGGGGGGGCAATTTCAGGAGAACCACGCGGCTCTCCCCCGTGGTTTCCTTCCTTGTTACATACACACACACACACACACACACACACACACACACGGCCTTTCTGCTTGGTCAGTGACACGTGGCGAGGCATTCGGCCTGTGTTAAAGGACCACAGTGACTGAGCTGCCACTTTCCTTCTAGAATCCAGTGGAGGAATGTGTATTTCCCGGCCTCGGTTATTCCTTGGCTTGATTTCACTGCACGCAGTAATGCCTGAATGCAATTGGGCTAATTTTAAAAAAAACCTGCTTGATTATAAGCACCGCTGTTTGGGTACTTCCGACATTTCATAACAAAATACCTACTGTGATCCCAAAGATACAACGAATTTCAAACACGCAGTGGCCTCCTATCTCAGGATTCTATCTTGAGAATTTTGTAATGGGTTGGATTTTAAAACTCCCCAAAGGACTCTTGCCCCGTCACCTGTGCTGCTCACAGCCCAGGCTGTGGCCCTCTCGCTCTGGCCTTCTGGAGAGCGGTCCTTCCAGCTCCAAGGTCACACGTCATCACCTCCTTCCAGGACAGTCTCCAGTCCATCAGCCCTTGCCTTGCAGATCTCCTCTAACCATTTAATCAAGAAAGTCGCTCTTTTGTCATTCAGATCAGAATACATGGTTCTAATGACGTCAGGCCCATCATCCCTTCGAAAACACACGGACGCGTGTTAACCTCCCCTACAGTGACTCACTCACCGTGATGCCTTCACATGGGAGCAACTGCCTTGTAGTTGCCCAGTTGTTGTCTAAAGATGCTACTTATCTTTTACTAAATGACTCCAGCTGGTTGATGGCGCCTCATCCAATCCTTATTAACCTGTTCCCCATCTACCCTGTCTCATGCCCTCTGCCAGGCGCAGTGGGGAGGGACCCCACACTGATCAAGGCTGGTCTTCAGGAGACCGACTATGTCCTCCTACCCCTCATCACCATGATGCCTTTTAGGTATCATCCTCAAGCAGTAAGGTGAAATGGAATAAAACTTCACGGAACGCCCTTCCAATATTCCGCTTAGAAGGTGGTCATGCTACCTCTTCGGGCAGGCACACAGGTGGTCAGAGAGCTTGGCACCTGAGTCCCACCAAGGTGACTCCTTTCACACGGCTTCGTCTCCACAAGAGACACAGGCAGACAGCTGCTACCTATCAACGTCAGAATCAGCCTAAGATGTGTTAGTGCTTATGAAGACTGTGCAGTTACTTGTACGAAACATTACCCCCTCGTTTTGTAAACATCAAGGAAATGGCTGTGAATTGCTGGGACTGAGGACTAGTCCAGTAACTAACTGATCTCCAAGGCAAGAAAAATATGATAGCGACAACTGGCTTATCTAACATGTCGCGTGACAGACGTTTCCTACCGCTGAGTGCCAGAAGCCTCATTTGTGTGTGTACTTTGCATATAGCATTTCCTATCTAAAGTCTCTGTGCCCGTGTAAACTTGAGAGTGAATCTGAGTGGAGGTGGTGTCACTGTACTTTGCGACACACTTTCTACTTGATGGATCAGAAGCACTACAGGCTTTGGAAACACATTACTGTACTCTCAATGACACTACTTGTGTTTGCTTACAATCTGAGCATTTATATACATCCAGAAAAATTTCACGTTGGCTGAAGAGCTTACTAAATGCACCTAGTTCTCATACAAAGTTGCTGCATGGTCTATGTTATGCTATGAAGTGATCATGCCAACACATTAAAACACGTGTGAAGATCATGCCAACACATTAAAACAGGGTTTCCCAAAGTGTGGTGGTGGATGGTGCCAATCTATGGACCATTATTGGTCTATGATGAGCTTAAGTTGAGATACCGTACTATTTGGAAACTTTTATAGCAAATTTACAGAGTAATTATATGTCTGTAAGTCAATTTTTTAATGAATTAATTTAGATTTTTGCCATAGGGCACGTGCACTCGGCAGAGAGAAACAAAGAGGGAAAGTGAGAAATCACCTCCCACTGGGGATGACCAAGCTGCAATCCCTTCTCCTCCATTCTCCTCTCTGGATTTTGAGCACACATGCACACATGCCCAGCATGTTTTTCAAGGTGCAGGGTACAAGACTCAAGGCACGGAGCTGGCCTTGTGGGATCCAGCACCTTAACCACCATACCATTTGCTGGCCCCTGTAAATCTAATTTGTTTATTGGGGCTCCTATCTCTATCACTTTGTATTTTTCTTTTCTTTTCTTTTCTTTCTTTCTTTCTTTCTTTCTTTCTTTCTTTCTTTCTTTCTTTCTTTCTTTCTTTCTTTCTTTCTTTCTTTCTTTCTTTCTTTCTTTCTTTTTACTACGATTTGGGCCTTCCTTATCCAAAATGCTTGGGATCAGAAGTGTTTCCCAGCCAGGATTTTGGAATATTTTGCATAAACATAATGAGCTATCTTAGGAATGGGACACAAACCTAAGCATGAAATACACTGTTTCACAAATGTGCTCTACACACAATGTGAAGATGATTTCATACAACATTCTGTGTCGTGACATCTGACTGGGGTCCATCATATGGTCGGGTCACTTGTGGCATCACGTGAGCACCCAAAATGTTTTGGATTTTGGAGCACTTTGAATTTCACAGTTTTCAGGTCAGAGATACTTGACCTGTAGTTATTTTTACTATGTTTTACTGAAGATCATGAAGAATTGGAGGGAAAAAACAAAAACGAGATTGTCCCTTAGCACAGAAAGTTTAAGAAGTGCTGTCTCAAAACGTAAACCAAAATACAACTAAAAACAAATCAGTAAGCTCACTGCCAGTTTGAAATTGTATTGGTTTTCTAGGAAAGAGGTAGTATTTGGGCAAGATGGTGTAGACTTTTCTTCTAGTCATTGACGTAGAACTTTTTTTTTTTAAAGTTTCTTTTACTCATGACAGACAGAGGTGTGTGCAAGTACAGGCACGTGAGAGAGCGCGTGCGTGAGAGAGAGACACGGGGAGGGAGAGGGGGTGCCCCTGGACAGGGTCTCTTCATGCTGTGACCTCCTCTCCCCAGCCCTCTAGCTTGTCAGGATCCTGGGCACACACACAAGCCTGGAGTGTTTCAGGTCAACCGGGCTGGGGATCAGAACCCATGGTTGGCCAGGTGGCTTCCAGCACCACAGTATGACATACTCTGCCACTGAAGCTGCCTGTTTAAGACTTGTTACCAGAATAAACAACAGGACTTTTCCAGTGACACATTTCTCCAGAAACAACCACCCAATCTATGGAACCGATCTGTGTAAAAAGCATACAGGCCACGCAATACTATAGGCATTTAGCAGAATTCCCAGGGCTGAAAGGAATCTGCGGAGATACTTGAGAGAGATTTCCATGTGAGAAACACCTAATTTCCAGTGAGAATGATCCATCTGCTCATCGCGGTGTGCTAATCCTGACGGTTTAGGAAAAGCCTGGTAAGACATCTGCAATGCTGCCTGGAAAGGGAGGGCAGAAGGCCTGGTAAGGGCCCTCGTGAGCACGATCTGTGAGCAGCAACAGATACACAGATCGAAGCCTGGCTGCTCTTCAAACTTGCAAATTAGGACCCCTGATGGAGTATGTCTCGAAGCCGGTTAGCTTTATTTCTCTTTCTGGAGTGCGCTCGCAAAGACTGTAAAACACATACAAAGGCAGTTTAGGAGTTTAATCCTAGCTCTACTTAACTTGTTATGGAAAGGAATAAAATGTAACATAATGAAATCTACTGCACATTTTTATTTAAAAATAAAGTTTGCTTAACCACCCCCTTAAGAAGAGCACAATTTAGAGAAGAAAAGACTAGACATGCCCTCCAGAACCAGAGGGCAAGAAGCCAGACGCGTGGGCCCCTCCCAGCCTCTCTGGGCCTGGCTCAGGCTGGCCAAGGCCAGGGCCAGGCCGGCTCCTCAGAAGGCTCTTTTTCCTCAGGCTCTCTAAGAAAATAACAATAGCTCTTTAAGCGGGTATTGGAGAGGCACGTGACCTTCCAAAAGGCCTCACTAGGCTGCAGCTGGAAGATGAAGCAGTAGCAGGAGCTCATTAAGGACATGTAGGTAACACAGGGAAGGGGGGCTCCTCACTGCAAGGCCCCACGGCTGGGGAATCGAAAGCCCGAGGGGGCCCTGGAGTTTGGGAAAGGAGGGGCTTGTGACTGGCCTGCTTCCTAGGCCTCCTCCCTCGGCTTGCGAAGATGTAAGCCCAAAACTCCCAGGTCTTCTACCCTGTTGTTTTTTTGTTTTTTTTTTTTTTTTGGACAAAGACCCAAAGGGTGCCTAAGCCATTGGGCTGGGTTAGAGACCCCCATGTGGAGGATCAGAGGGCTCCTACCTTCTTCTTCCCTCCGCTGCCTCCCAAGGGGACCTGAAACCAACCACAGGCCACTCTTCTACTGAAAACTCCATGTCTCTTAACATAAGGTTTGAGATGAAACACCCTCTCTCCCCAGTAAATTTGTCAAAAACAAATTCTTAGCGTTCTGGTTTTCATAAAAAATTTCAGCAACTATTCATTGCAGTAAGCTAAGTTTTGC